GTTCTAAATCAATATATCTTCTTTATGGAAACACACACAAGATATTCCAGATAATTGGTTTTAGATACAGATGTGGACAATATGTAGGGAGGGCTACTCTTTAGTTTCCCAGGAAAATTACAGAGTGTCTTATAAGTCATTTTCATATTAAATGGGAACTGCTCTGTCATACATAAATGCTCATTTCGCCTGAACAAGTAAAACATCTAACGCCGTCTAAGAGAACAACATCCCGCTATTAAGTCCTGGCGGAACTATTTGAGAGGGAACCCGCACTTGTGATACACAGAACATTAGTTTTTCAGAAGCTATCTTTTCAGCCAACAGTTTAAATGAGAGTACTTCATGTAAAACGTCTGTTGCTTTAAACACGGAGAACGGAGAAAAATTATAGAGATCATTCGCGGTACTTGATGGAATCCTGCATGTGGAAGACATCCCAGATGCTGGCAGTGAAGAAGCATTAGCAGGCAATCGATGGGTGTACGAGCCCTTTCACTAAAACAAACCGTGCTAATTATTGCCTGTCGTACATGAGGCCACCCAGGGGCGGCTGGAAAACACACAGCCTCATTCCAGCTTGAGTAAATCGATTGTATAATCTCTTATGTAAGTAGAAGCGATCATGTGCTACCAGAGTTGTGGTCGAGGCTTGTTGGGAGATGCAGTAGGTGCTGGGCGAACTCCCAGGCAAGGGAGCATGTGTGCCATTTCAGATATTTACAAACTTAAAATCCAAATTTAAATTGAAAATACCGAAATCATACCCTCTAGAATTAACATGAAGAAATAGGACAGTTACTGCTTGTTTATTAACTAAGCAACATTTCCCAAATGGATGTTCCATATCGTCATGTTACGATCTCACAAATCTCTATATCTAACGGGTGATCGTAGTAGAAGTGATTATATGTACTTCATATCCGGTATTAAACTTAATTAAATGCTTGTCATTCAGTGCGATGAATCATTTGAATCATTGACAGAACTGAAAGTTACTGGAGTACACGTCCATGTCGATGGGCCTCGCCAGGCTAACGTAAACGACCTGACAAAAGCTGGCGGTTATCTCCCTTGCATTCAGTCTGTTTAGCGTGCGTGCTTGACCCTGGCCACACCAGTTCGGCTGGTTCGAACACACAAGACCAATTAGTCAGTTTCCTGAGTGGCAATGAAGCTGGTACGACCGTGTGTGTGTCGCAACAACCCCAAAACCAGGACACTTATCACATCTCAATACTGGCTTGGCTTTGATATGCAGAACACCCAGTTGAGTACTTGAGGAGCAGAGAGGGACGTGGGCAGTGATGCAGGGCAAATCTGTTCTTCATATCATACAGGACTTCATATAACCTCCATGTAGGCGAGTCTAGGTAGTAGGTATTTGCACCAACACGCCAGTTATTTGGAGTCATGAGATCAGATAGCGCTATAACCTAGTAATGAAACGAGTAAAGTTGGGAAATTCGTGTCAGCCGTGATCACCGGAAAATATCGGTGCCCATATGAAGACGACCTCGTTACTCTCCCAAAGTTGATGAACCGAAGCTGATGAACACAAAGTTGATGAACACATGAGGAGTATTGGCTGATGATGGCGATTGGGTGTGTGACGAGTTATTATCACTAATTAATAATCATAATAATCATAGATTGTGAACTGGGTTGTTCATTAATAACTGGGTTGTTAGGGAGAGGGTGGAGTGTTCCAGAGTGCGACATCACCTACAGTGTTCAACCCTGCATGTCACCACACGTTTGGTAGCGAGACCAGGTTGTGTGTGTTCAACCAAACCATCCCCATGTCCCCACCTTTGTATATGCGCCGCAAGAGGGCGTCCCGGGTCCTCGCTATCAGGAGCAGCATGAGATACGTAGATACGTGTTCAGGCCTGCTTCCCCCTGAATGGTGAGCCCGGAGATTAACGCTTCTTCCTCCCCGTGTTACAGTAGTATAGGGATCAGATGTGATCAGACTGTATCTGTGGTGGGTGTGGTTTCATGGCTGGCTGAGTGACTGCGAATGAAGATTTCAGTTACAATGATCAGTAACTGTGTCGGGATGCGATACAATGTTTGAACTCCCAGCACGTCTAATAGGTTTAATAGTATGCCAGGAACGCGACCTCCGGAGATATGTAAAATGTCACAACCTGGCTGTTGAAACAAGTTAGATTGATTGCAAAGGTCACGACATCTGGAAATAGCCGGTCACGTGAGTTCTCATACCTATTACCCTAAGGCGAGGACAGCTGACCACACCAGACGAGGGGGTATCTGTTTGTCCGCGATAAACCTGTCCCGACATGGTGGCTATTTAATCTGAAAATCCGTTGTATCTCCGATATACCATTGCCTATCTATCGTCTATCTATCAGCCACACTACGTACATATGTAACACTCTGCCCTGCGGGCTCCATGGGGGTCGCGACGGGAGAGTGAACTCTTAGGATTGATATTTTACACTTACGTCACCGTGCTATGCCTGCCCATTGTTCTGATTGTGTCTCTTATCAGCCCTGATGTGTACACATGCAGACGAAGGACGTACTTGTGGCACGATCCGTATCAAAGATGCACAGAAAGAATACTGAACTCATTACAGTGTCACGTCACGTACAAGTGCCCAAAGTATGTATGTATGGGTATGTTTTCTGATGTAACAGGAGGTCACGCAGGTATCTGTTGTATCTCAACAACAGAGGGGTGGCAGTGGTCGGTGTGTGTGTGTGTGAAGGGGGGGTGGGGTGGGGTGGTGGAGCCACATTTCACCAACAGTGGGAGGGGAGCTGACTGGGTGGACCTCAATCTCCGTGCCGATTTCTTTTACGAAAGATGTCTATTATGCGATGGAACTCTGACTGAATATAAATAATGTCTAATCTTGTCACCAGCGCTTACAAGCGCAGGTTTCCACATCACGTAGTGTTTTATTCACGAGTGCTGGTGATGTATATGAATACATGAATATATGCTAAAGTATCACTTGCCAGCTAAGAGGAAAGTTGTAGTTTGTGATTCCAACTGTTTGGACACACCATAAAACGTAACCATATTTTCTCAACTAAATTTTCCTTTGACTTTTGGAATTTATTCCCTGTCCCAGATTATCGTTTGGAATAAGCATGAGTGTTTTGTATACGAGTGGAAGGGATGGATAAATGAAATCATAATGTCATTGTCGCGCTGTCGTTCAGGAAAACGTTTGGAAAATCGAAGCGAGTCTCAGAAACGCAGCCAATAAGCCAGCGGCTGCCGACCGTCAGCATGGCGATGGTGGCGCTAGAGCACGTGCTGCCGCCATCAAGATGAATCTCTATTGATCCAACACAGCAAACTGCTCATGTAATTTCCTACCGGCAAAAGAAGCGAAACGAAACTTGGATTCACCAATGACCAACGATTTCTCAGATAACACTGTGGTTTTAATTTCCTTTCGGCTATTAATACGAAACAAAACCGGTGACGCTCGCGCTTGCTCGTATGGAATGAACGATCTTTTCTGGAAGGGGAAATTTTGTCTGAATTAAGAAAGTAAACTGTTCTCTACTTTTCAGATGGTTTCAATAAAAACGGAAATTCGAAAATTTAGTTCCGGATCTCAGTTCAAAAGGTCAACAACTCTCTCCACAGAGGGCGACGGCCTGGTTCGACATCGATTTCCCTAAGCTGGGATGAGTTGAAGACATGGTCAGGTAGAACAGACTCACCAACTGTCCATGTTACAGTTTACAACATATTACATCGAATTCACACACTTTTGTTTCAAAGTATTGCTTTAGTGTCTTCACCCCTTACTTGTAGGGTAAACTATCGACATGTATCAGAGTGACAACGTGACATGTGCACAAAAGCCCGTTTCTACACAAGTTAACTTGATTCCGTCCTAGTGGACATACATGCATAATGTGACGACATGCTGGCCACACGGCATGTGTATGATGGCATTGTTTCAGTATCACAAATGTGAAGCATGCAGCGGGAACTAATCTCTGTCCGATCATTGTGCGACCTTTGAAAGTAAACCAAATCGCCATCAGCAAGGAACACAAGTCACACACCAAGCCGGCTATCGGGAACAAGGACTGTTTGTAATAGCGGAGCAATCTATGCTGTTGTGTCGTGACGAGGCATGCTTTTTCACCTTTGTCTGTTTGAAGAGCGTGCTTATCTTACGTCCACCATATTTAAAGAAGCCTCCGCAGAGGAGAGTCAATATTGAGTCAGCGCCATCTTTTCAAACCTCATTTATGACTATCAGTCCGCGCTAATTATTTGAGATATGGTGTATGCCACTAGTAGGCTAATTAGGAGAAAGGGGTAAGATATTTCCTGGTTAGATATTCAGCAATGATTACCACTATATTGATTATGAAACTGAATAATTTAATTGATAATGTTAAAAACATGGACCAAGTAGTTTCACAGAGAATAATGATGACGGGATTACAGTTACTTCACCGCACATGCATATTGAAAACTGAATAACATTATTGAACGACAGCTACTCGGAATAATCAACGCATCTGTGCTGAATTCAACAAAAGGTACAACTCACCTACACTTGACCACTGCAGGGAGTCAGGCAATAATCCCCTCACACAGAATCCGGGATAATCCGTGCAATACGGCGTCAGTCTGTAAGAGAGAGAGGGCACTTGAAACATACAGTGTGGTATAGCGAGGTGTATAGACTGCGGGCAGTGCTACAGTATCACGGTGTCGCTGTAACGTCTGGGTACGGCGTCATCTGCATCCTCACATTGAAGAAAAAGGACAAAACTGCAACATACATAACAATCATAGCACATGCCCGACCTATAATGGGGAGACTGCTGGTGTGTGGGCGTGGTAGATGTCGCAGGTAGTGCCGCACACGCTGTCACGTACACAGACGTGCATATTGTACCAAACAAAACAGACATGCCTAGGTTGTAGATGAGTGAACAGCATCTGTATATCACTCAACAAATAAGACGTGTAATGTTTCAGAGAGGAATTACTGAAGTAAGTGAAACCGTGACACGAGGTAGTGATGCTGCGGTAGGCGACACCGTGACGCGAGGTGTTGATGCTGCAGTAGGCGACACCGTGACGCGAGGTGCTGATGCTGCAGTAGTCGACACCGTGACGCGAGGTGGTGATGCTGCAGTAGGCGACACCGTGACGCGAGGTGTTGATGCTGCAGTAGGCGACACCGTGACGCTATAGGTGCTGATGCTGCAGTAGGCGACACGGTGACGCGAGGTGTTGATGCTGCAGTAGTTGATACCGTGACGCGAGGTGGAGATGCTGCAGTAGTTGATACCGTGACGTGAGATGTTGATGCTGCAGTAGGCGACACCGTGACGTGAGGTGTTGATGCTGCAGTAGTTGATATCGTGACGCGAGGTGGTGATGCTGCAGTAGTTGATACCGTGACGTGAGGTGTTGATGCTGCAGTAGGCGACACCGTGACGCGAGGTGTTGATGCTGCAGTAGGCGACATCGTGACGCGAGGTGGTGATGCTGCAGTAGTTGATACCGTGACGTGAGGTGGTGATGCTGCAGTAGGCGACACCGTGACGCGAGGTGGTGATGCTGCAGTAGTTGATACCGTGACGCGAGGTGGTGATGCTGCAGTAGTTGATACCGTGACGCGAGGTGGTGATGCTGCAGTAGGCGACACCGTGACGTGAGGTGTTGATGCTGCAGTAGGCGACACCGTGACGCGAGGTGGTGATGCTGCAGTAGGCGATACCGTGACGTGAGGTGGTGATGCTGCAGTAGTTGACACCGTGACGTGAGGTGGTGATGCTGCAGTAGTTGATACCGTGACGTGAGGTGTTGATGCTGCAGAAGGCGTGACACCGTGACGTGAGGTGGTGATGCTGCAGTTGTTGACACCGTGACGTGAGGTGGTGATGCTGCAGTAGTTGATACCGTGACGCGAGGTGGTGATGCTGCAGTAGTTGATACCGTGACGTGAGGTGGTGATGCTGCAGTAGTTGATACCGTGACGTGAGGTGGTGATGCTGCAGTAGTTGATACCGTGACGTGAGGTGGTGATGCTGCAGTAGTTGATACCGTGACGTGAGATGTTGATCCTGCAGTAGGCGACACCGTGACGTGAGGTGGTGATGCTGCAGTAGTTGATACCGTGGCGTGAGGTGGTGATGCTGCAGTAGTTGATACCGTGACGTGAGGTGTTGATGCTGCAGTAGGCAACACCGTGACGTGAGGTGGTGATGCTGCAGTAGTTGATACCGTGACGCGAGATGTTGATGCTGCAGTAGGCGACACCGTGACGCGAGGTGGTGATGCTGCAGTAGGCGATACCGTGACGTGAGGTGGTGATGCTGCAGTAGTTGACACCGTGACGTGAGGTGGTGATGCTGCAGTAGTTGATACCGTGACGTGAGGTGTTGATGCTGCAGAAGGCAACACCGTGACGTGAGGTGGTGATGCTGCAGTAGTTGACACCGTGACGTGAGGTGGTGATGCTGCAGTAGTTGATACCGTGACGCGAGGTGGTGATGCTGCAGTAGTTGATACCGTGACGTGAGGTGGTGATGCTGCAGTAGTTGATACCGTGACGTGAGGTGGTGATGCTGCAGTAGTTGACACCGTGACGTGAGGTGGTGATGCTGCAGTAGTTGATACCGTGACGTGAGTTGTTGATACTGCAGTAGGCGACACCGTGACGTGAGGTGGTGATGCTGCAGTAGTTGACACCGTGGCGTGAGGTGGTGATGCTGCAGTAGTTGATACCGTGACGTGAGGTGTTGATGCTGCAGTAGGCGACACCGTGACGTGAGGTGGTGATGCTGCAGTAGTTGATACCGTGACGCGAAATGTTGATGCTGCAGTAGTTGATACCTAGACGTGAGGTGGTGATGCTGCAGTAGTTGATACCTTGACGTGAGTTGTTGATGCTGCAGTAGGCGACACCGTGACGTGAGGTGGTGATGCTGCAGTAGTTGACACCGTGGCGTGAGGTGGTGATGCTGCAGTAGTTGATACCGTGACGTGAGGTGTTGATGCTGCAGTAGTTGACACCGTGACGTGAGGTGGTGATGCTGCAGTAGTTGATACCGTGACGCAAGGTGGTGATGCTGCAGTAGGCGACACCGTGACGTGAGGTGCTGAGGCTGCAGTAGTCGACACACTGACGTCAGCTGGCGATGCTGCAGTACCAACACCGTGACGGCAGGCGGGGATGGAGGCGTTGTGGCTACTGGCCAGCACAGCGAGGGATGAGGCACATTGACAAATTGTACTTGTAAAAACTAGCGAGTGAGATTGGAGTAGGGTAGTCTTTCTTTGAGAAAGAACAAATTGGACGTTCTTCTTCCATTACGCTACTTGTTGAGGCGGGCGATGTGATGTTGAGATCCCATTATATTTGCTACAAATCGGAACCTGCTAACTATAGAGGTTAATGGATGATCGCCTCTCAGACTAATGTGTGCACGCAGGTGGCCCTTGCGTAATGTAATATATCCTAATTCCTTGCTGCACCGTCACTGTGGGGAGCTGCTCTACACTTGTGTCGCCGGAGCTGAACACACGTCGATGCTCCGTCATAGTTTATGTTGCGCTGTAGCAATGTTGCTGATATTCCAGTTCCACACCAGCTGGAGGTTTAATCCCATACACACCACATGCATATTCTGACACACCAGCCGAATATCAATATCGTGTTCAGATTTGGAGTTATATGTCGCTGGTGGGATCCGAGAACATGTACGCGATTGAAAGACTTTCCCTACGTACTAAGACCTGCCTTACACAGAATTGCGTGCAACTTGACTGGGTTAGTTTTGACGTGCCATTAAACATTATGACGTCATGATGTCCGGCTGCCGGTGGGGGTGGTGGTTTCGGTGGGGTTATGTTTGGGAGGGATAGTCACAAGCCATCCGTCGTTACCATCTAGCATTCAAATTATGACCATTCAATAATGAATGACGGGGACGGACATAAAACCTACCTCGACGGCTATTTGATAGTATTTATGTTGACAAACACACCTGCTGCACTTATATAGTGGACGCATTGCCACGTTGCTATAGACCAGCTCTGCTTCACCAGAATCTTCTTCTTGGCTAACAGGGGCGTAGCTACCATTATTGAAAAAAGCCCGGCTTACACATGTTTTTTTTCTATGAAAGTTGGACAAGCCCTCAATACTATTTAAATATATAGCTTTGCAACCTATCGGGCTTACGCGAAAACAAATGGCTTGCTCCGCGCCGTGTCTAACTGACGTACTGTGCACTTTCCACACTCGTCTGGGTTCATTACACGGCTGTTGACATGGTAACTGGCGAATGGTGGGTCTCGTTTCTAATTGAGTTTATTTGATGGTGATCTGTTATTACATTTTCAGAGGTTTCAAATCAATCATTTTGATTTGCAGAAAACAAACAGTGATCTTAGATTCCCGTACTGTATGTTCCCACAGATGTCCTGGTTCTCCGAGGTATATCTACCTATACCGTTCCTAGTTCTCCGTGGTATATGCACCTATAACGTTCCTGGTTCTCCGAGGTATATGCACCTTTAACGTTCCTGGTATATGCACCTATCTCCGAAGTATATGCACCTGTAACGTTCCTGTTTCTCCAAAGTATATGCACCTGTAACGTTCCTGGTTCTCAAAAGTCTATGCACCTGTAACGTTCCTGTTTCCCCGAAGTATATGCACCTGTAACGTTCCTGGTTCTCCGAGGTATATGCACCTGTAACGATCCTGGTTCTCCGAGGTATATCCACCTGTAACGTTCCTGTTTCTCCAAAGTCTATGCACCTGTAACGTTTCTGGTTCTCCGAGGTATATGCACCTGTAACGTTCCTGGTTCTCCGAGGTATATGCACCTGTAACGTTCCTGGTTCTCCGAGGTATATGCACCTGCAATGTTCCTGGTTCTCCGAGGTATGTGTACCTATTAAGTATATTCTAAAACCAACAACCTTAAATAATCGTAATGCTTAATGCTTAATGTTGAATGTGGGTGCAAAGTTCCATGACGAAACATTCAACGGTTTATGAGTTATGCTTCAAAGGCGAAACGTGAAGAACAGTAGTGAGAAGGAAGGAGCCTGTTTCCTATCACCCAAAACTATATTTATACTATTGGTTACTAATGGTAACTATGTTTATGTCCAACAAAATGTTTACAAGTGTCTCAGTCACATTAGAAAGTTCCACTTGTCCATAACCTTTTCTAAAACAAGAAAGATTCATATCTTTTGCATACGCCGATCCGATCTCGTTCGAAATCAACTAATGAAAAGTATTTTAAATACAGTCTTCCTTTGGATTATTTATCATGTTCAATAGAAGAAATGACGGAAGTTCATGTAACAGCATCGTCTTATAGTGGGGCGCAGAGTTCCTCTAGACATTGAGCTGGGTGCACCATCGCCCACGTTGCGCCCATCCGTGATGAGTACGCCTGTCCCAGGCACTGTCTGTGGGTGAGAGTCTAATCTACAACGGAATTACCACTTTTGTACAGCACTAACACGTAATCGTTTGGCGTAAAAACAAAATGGCTGTTCCCCAGCGCAATTACCTCGGCGAGTTGCGAGACCTGACCAAAGTTGCATAGCGCAAGAAAGAGAGTTGACACTAAAGGAAGACAACTCATAAAACATTCATAACATCGGTTTATGTCCCTGATTCCTAATCAAATTTAACGGTCCGAATCGGTGTTTGCTTGCTTTGCGTTGACACAACAGATTGACGGCACGTGTAAATTTCAGTCACTTTTCACGGATCGATCAACTGGTGAAATCCTGAACACTCGCTTTATCTCGCTACTTTCCGGGCTTACAGACGTGAACCATTTTTTCCTGCCAACTCGATATTTTGATATCTTGGTTTTTATCGGTTTTGCTTCCATATACTGACGAGTTACAAACATCATACCTCGCACTGGTTCATTACTGTCAGACTTACAGGTCGGATGCCGGACATCTTCCCCTCTGTTTACGACATTTCCGGTATGCCGAAAGAGAGAGAGAGAGAGAGAGAGAGAGAGAGAGAGAGAGAGAGAGAGAGAGAGAGAGAGAGAGAGAGAGAGAGAGAGAGAGAGAGAGAGAGAGAGAGAGAGAGAGAGAGAGAGAGAGAGAGAGAGAGAGAGAGAGAGAGAGAGAGAGAGAGTAATAGGTATTTGCTTGTTCGCCAACAGACGCAAAGTCACTGATGAAAGCAGTATATTAACGAACCCACATCGAGTTTGTTTGTGGACTTCGTGGTTTACACCACAACTTATTTGCCATTTAAAAAATACAGAGCATTTCTTAATGTTCCAGACTGTCTAATGATATTTAAAGATTTTATAACATGCTTTTGCGTGTTTTTGTGTAATTAAGCGTGTATTTGCCACGTGTGTTCACGCATGCTGTGAGAACTGTAGTGGTGGACCCATATCGTCTTCAAACCAGACTCATTCTCCATTACTCCATCTAATTATAGGGCTTTAAGACAGTCCTGTTTTGTTGCTATGCAACCAGAATAAACATAAACAAACACATTTCCATAGGAACGGGTGTGTTTGATGATCCCTGTTTTATCCCTCACGCCATGTGGTCATCTCATATTGGACTTCAAATTGAGCGTGTGTGTCAGACTGGTCGGGGGAGGGGGTGTGTGGAGTGGGGTGATGGTAGTGGTGATAGGTTGCACGATGACCCGTGTTGTCAGATGGTTACATGTGGATACTGCCAGGTGGTGCATCAGTCACGAGGTCACATGTTTATGCATCATGTCATCACTAGATGCATGTTTATTAATTGCTTGCTGTGGCTTGGATAATTTTAATCACGAAACCGCAGGTGAACAAAGGCAGACGAACAGGGGCGTGTGTGTAAGTGGACAGTACTGGCGCTGTTATACCGGGGATAGACAGTACTGACCCTGTTATACCGGGGATAGACAGTACTGACGCTGTTATACCGGGGATAGACAGTACTGACCCTGTTATACCCGGCATAGACAGTACTGACGCTGTTATACCGGGGATAGACAGTACTGACGCTGTTTATACCGGGAATAGACAGTACTGACGCTGTTTTAACGGGGATAGACAGTACTGATTCTGTTATAACGGGGATAGATAGTACTGACGCTGTTCTACCGGGGATCGACAGTCCTGACGCTGTTACACCAGTCATAGACAGTACTGACGCAAATAAAAATGCCCCTGTAACATCTCTACTGAGTAACATGTCTTACACTTTCACAGTAAAGTACCGATTCTAGTACTTTGGTTAGGTTTTGTCCCACCCAGGAGGCTGAGTGTGTTAGATGTCTGACTTTGTGTGCTCTGAGAGTGTGGGTTCGTGTGGTCGGGGTGTACACATACTGTGGCGCCCGGACATGTGGGCGTGGGTATGGAAGGTCAAGTACTATCCAATATAAAGCCCGTGATATGTACAAGTAAGCATATGTGTTTACGCTAATGAGATTTGAACAATTCCACCAATGACAGGGGTGTAACTGTTTAGCTGCCAAGTGCCCTTCATTCATTCCATTTCCTCGGTTTTTGATGAAAATATTTGTTCAGGAAAATAATTGCGAGATTAGATAAGAATGAGAATTGTGACAAGTTGTTTTTCCTGCCTTTGTTCAGTAAAGAATGTTATCGAGCTTTTCCTTCCTCAGTCATTACGATAGACACACACCATAGTACTGTAATACTGTAAAGCGTTATCGGTCAACATCACTATCTGAAGAAGGCGGAGGAAGGAAAGTGCTGCTGATATAATAAAACCTACTCGTGTCCTGTGTGTCTGATATCACGTAGAGTCGGTGTCTGACAGGATAGGTCATGTACATATACTTAATACCCTACCAGTATGTCGTTATGTCTGATACCACGTAGAGTCGGTGTCTGACAGGATAGGTCATGTACATATACTTAATACCCTACCAGTATGTCGTTATGTCTGATACCATGTAGAGTCGGTGTCTGACAGGATAGGTCATGTACATATACTTAATACCCTACCAGTATGTCGTTATGTCTGATACCATGTAGAGTCGGTGTCTGACAGGATAGGTCATGTACATATACTTAATACCCTACCAGTATGTCGTTATGTCTGATACCATGTAGAGTCGGTGTATGACAGGATAGGTCATGTACATATACTTAATACCCTACCAGTATGTCGTTATGTCTGATGCCATGTAGAGTCGGTGTATGACAGGATAGGTCATGTACATATACTTAATACCCTACCAGTATGTCGTTATGTCTGATGCCATGTAGAGTCGGTGTATGACAGGATAGGTCATGTACATATACTTAAAACCCTACCAGTATGTCGTTATGTCTGATACCATGTAGAGTCGGTGTCTGACAGGATAGGTCATGTACATATACTTAAAACCCTACCAGTATGTCGTTATGTCTGATACCATGTAGAGTCGGTGTCTGACAGGATAGGTCATGTACATATACTTAATACCCTACCAGTATGTCGTTATGTCTGATACCACGTAGAGTCAGTGTCTGACAGGATAGGTCATGTACATATACTTAAAACCCTACCAGTATGTCGTTATGTCTGATACCACGTAGAGTCGGTGTCTGACAGGATAGGTCATGTACATATACTTAAAACCCTACCAGTATGTCGTTATGTCTGATACCACGTAGAGTCGGTGTCTGACAGGATAGGTCATGTACATATACTTAAAACCCTACCAGTATGTCGGTATGTCTGATACCACGTAGAGTCGGTGTCTGACAGGATAGGTCATGTACATATACTTAAAACCCTACCAGTATGTCGTTATGTCTGATACCATGTAGAGTCGGTGTCTGACAGGATAGGTCATGTACATATACTTAAAACCCTACCAGTATGTCGCTATGTCTGATACCACGTAGAGTCGGTGTCTGACAGGATAGGTCATGTACATATACTTAAAACCCTACCAGTATGTCGTTATATCTGATACCACGTAGAGTCGGTGTCTGACAGGATAGGTCACGTACATATACTTAAAACCCTACCAGTATGTCGCTATGTCTGATACCACGTAGAGTCGGTGTCTGACAGGATAGGTCATGTACATATACTTAATACCCTACCAGTATGTCGTTATGTCT